GTGGCATGATAGCAGGTAACAGTCAAGATATTTAAAACTCTAACAAAATGAAAATCAAAAGTAGTAAGAAATGCTACAGTAGCACCTCCTTGCTTCCAAAGGGTATTCTGTCGTGATTCAATTCAAGACAGAAATTCAATTCTGCCATCGATTACATAATATTTAAGGACCAAATGTGACCTAGAGATTAATAAGAATTGTCCCAAAAAAGTTTATTTATCATTTGAAAAAGAAGGATTTTCATCACAACACCAGCAATTCTTATATGTAAAAGGAAAGCAAAATGTGCAATAATAACAAAAAAAGATGTAAACAATTGAAATAATAAATACAGCTTTTATGAAAAAAAAAATATTGCTGCATTGACAGAAATATTCTCATGAAGTAAGGCTATTTTTAGTGCTCCATTATTCACAAGGAGTCGCTTCAAGTGATCTTTCACTAGTTAAGCGAATGTGTAAGCCATTACATTATGGAGAATTAACAAAATTTGAGTTTGAGTAGTAACAAAATAAATGGTATGCCAATATTTGCTGATGTAAACTTTTGATCAGTAGGCAAAAATATTTTTGTATGAAAGTTGCATAAGCAGATTTTCTATAGGACAATTCTATAGGACGTTAACAGAAATTACCTTTACACCAAAGTCATTTTACTCCATTAAGATCACAAAAAAGCCTTAAAAATACCATTTATCAAATGTTAAAGCATTCAGCCACATGACTAAGTGGTAACTCACTATGCCACTCATGATATGCCTAAATTAAAGCAGCATTTATGCTTTTAAATCATTAAGTGGTAATTAATTTGATTTGAATGTTTTTCCCAATTTTGCAAATAAAGTCTGTCTGGCTGTACATTCCTGTGGCTTTGTTCCTTCATCCACCACAAAACCATTAATGCAACTTCATTTATGTGTCGCTCTTAAAATAGTGTTAAATGAAAGTAGTTTGTCGAGTTAGTGCACAGCTCCTTCATATGGATCTTTCTGCAAATAACACCAAAGTGTCTTTTAGGTGTCCAAGATCACTATTTACCCAATATTTTCTTTTGCTTCTAGTCCATATAATTAAACTGCATTGGCAAACCTTCAGTCCTGAACCTGAAGGACTCAGGAAATGTCCTAGTGTGTATTGGTTTTAAAAAAAAAAATACAAAAAAGACTGATGTCTGTGGTTCTGATCCATCGTGCAACAGCAGGTGTTAGTAGAGTTTGACTCCAGAACATCTCAGCAGCCAGGAAATGCCATCCAAAAGCCCCGACAGGGATTCTGCCACTGTATCCTGTACCTGTTTATGAAAGAGAGAAATAGGCTGAAAAGCTCCACAAGCTGAACTCTGGATGGAAAAGCTTTCACCTGATCAAATATCAAGCAATTACCATCCAGGGGTTAGGCAGGTGGGGTAGGCCAAGTCTCTTTGCCATGTCAACACAGGGAGTTCGACACATGGATCTGGTGCTGGGAGTCCGAACTGTTTCTGGTTCCTCTCTTGAGATGCATGAGAGCACCAGCAGAGGTTTGGATGTGGAACCCCTACTGCAGTTTAGCACAGCTCGAATCTGGACTCCTTCAGACTTGTCACCACCTATTGACAACATGAACCATGAACCTACTGCAGATGTTCTGCATTGATCAGTCAAAAACCATTGAGTATGATGTGTCATTGTACTACACTACAAAAAAGGATGTGTTATTTTACCTCTCTCAGGCTCTGCATTGGCAACATAGATGAACCCATCCACCACTTGGCACACCTGCTGAACCTGAGGAGCAGGAACGCACACTGGGTCCCCTGAGTCGTCATTTCCTTCAAAGGTAAAGAGTTTATTGCTGATGCTCTCCTGTTGCACTCTGGCTCTTTCTCTCTCTGCCCTACAGACACAAAAACACAAAGATTAATAACTGCAAAAAGGATGAGAAACAACTGTGACTCATACAGCAACAAACAAAGTGCTCACCTGTTGGTTGAATACAGAGTGAGGATGTTAAATTTGTGTTGGTTATTGAACATGTAACTTATCCCCGAGCCAATACCTGAAATAAACAAAGGTTTACGTATGTTTGTTTGTATTCTTTGGATAGATAAGCTGTGTGTATGTAGTGAGCTAGTGCCATCTAGTGGTAGACAATACACATAGCAAGTAAACTTATCTGTTGATTAATTCTGTGATTAAAATGCACTGATGTAATTTCTGTAACACATCATTATTACACATTGCCTTTAAAATAATCACATTTTATCTCATTTTATCTTTTATCTAAAGGACAAACTATAATTTACAATTGATTAAAAGGGAAAATCTGCCACTATATTATGCATCATGATGAGAAAAATACCATGAGAAGCTTATCCCTTAGATCAGTGTTATCTTACCATTTATCTGTCTGTGTGGAGTGCCTGACACAGGAAGTATATCTGGAGCATGCATAAGCCTTGTGACTAAAGAGACATCCAGCTGCTCCATGCCAGGACCAAACATGGCATAACGCGGTTCAGACGAGGGTACCAGGGACTGAAAAAATGAGGTCACCACCTCATATGCTGGTCGTGTAGGAAGCCACTGCTGTCTGGAGAATGGGCAACCTTTCAGGTATCTGTTGACACACAAGGTTTGCTCAGAAATTTTTCCAGGAAACTGACGGTAATGCAGGATAACAGGGGGATACTCACTCTGACATGTAGTCAAATTTTAGTTTTATTCCTTCATTTCCCTCTTCTCTATCATCCAGGCTCTCGTCTTCACTTATTAGCGGTGCATCCAGCAAGTCTGGATGGGGTATGGTCACATGATCAATGGAGGGCCAGTGTGGCATGTCCCGCAATAGGAAGTATCTCCACAGTAATGGATCTCTAACCATGGCCCTCCAGTAACGACTTGTGGCTCCAAGGTGGCAGAGATCCGCAGGAGACAGGAAGGTCATGATCAGAAACTGTACATCCACCTTTGGGAGGAATGGCGGAGCACAATTATTTTGATTTTCCAAGATCAACAATAAATATTTCTAGATTAACCTCCTAGGACCTGGTGTCCACATATGTGGACATCACATTTTGGGTTATTTAGACCAAAATACTCAATTGTGTTCTACAAGGGCCTGATATTCACTTAGGAGGACATTATACTGCTACTGTTCTATCAAAATTTTAAACAAATATCCTCATGTGGCTCTTAATTTTCTTAAAAACAAAAATAAGGTAAAAAGAAAAAAAAAATCTGGTAATTCTTTGTTTTTACATTCATCGGGCCCCAATATCTGCCCAATATCTGCCCAAATATCAAAGTGAAATTACAAATGCATGCCGTGCAAGAGTTCGGGTCTTAGGAGGTTAAAATTCCTAGTTAAACCAATTGTGTGTATTTGGTTAAGAAGTAGGAAAAATACAGATTGGAAGGGGATAATGGACAATCACTAATACAAGCAATTCTATAATCAGCTGATATACTTCAAAGATAAGTCAAAGGAAGTCATAAAGTATGGCAGTGAAAACTTAAATAACCACATTTCCACTAAGGTGTTGCAGCTCAAGCTAAAGTTAATTATTCAGTTACCAGTAGTTTAGTGCTTTTGCGGTAACCAACATAACTGAGGAGGACATAAACTTTAGCGTTGATGAGCCTAAGCATGCATTTCTGTGTTCCTGCTCAGAATGGTGCAGTCGAGGCATGCCAAATCGGGGACGGGGGGCAATTACGACTACTTTGGAAGCCTACAAGTTGAACGCGACACTTAGACTGAGTATCTATAATTTTTTCTATAAACAGCTTTCAGACTGTGTGTGTAGAACCTGAAGAGAGCAACATGATCCTTTTAGGCTTGCCCTGTCTGAATGAGTGACATATAGGCTACATAGGAAGACGTACACATAATTCTCCTGTGAATGATTCGACTTACCGGTAAGGTATCCAAAAATCCATACTGTTGTTCTTCTTTTCCCGAGTCTCCAACTGCCAAGTCGGCTTCGACAACTTTATCAGGGAAATAGCGGTCTCTAAACCGCCTGAGGCTGCGGATCACCAAAGACTCCAGCTGCTGGATCTTTTCAGCCATGTCTTAATTTGTGTCATATGCGAATATTTACTGTGTACAACTAAACACTATGAACCAAGGAAATGCCAACACCGATGTTTTCCTGTCACTTCCTCATTATTGGGTAGCAGTGGAGCATTGTGGGTATTGTAGTTCAGTATCATCAAACAAAACAGGAATACGTAGTAAAAGAAGATCTGGAAGGCAAACTAGGAAATTTTTCTTAAAACAAAGCACGTTTATTGTCAACAAGGACATTAAAAAACAAAATGATAGATTTTTTTGCCCAAACAACACAGTTTCTCTATTAATAGTTACACTATCAATGTTATTCAAGTTGCAGAAAAATGGAAGTTGCAATAGATGAAAATACAAGTGGTGCATTACAAAGCTGGTATGAACAAACCTGAACATACTTTGAAATGGTCATTAATACGTCACTGACAAACAGTTCGAACACCTTTCTTTGCCTTCTGTGTGTATACTTTATACACAAATTCAAATAATGCATATGCTATTTTAATATATATTAAAAGCATAACAAAATGGCAACAAAACAATAAATAAATGTTAATGTGCAATGTCTCATTTCCAGCTGTATTATCTTTAAACTTGTTACAATCTTAAAATGAAAGGTCAATTTTTCTTTTTTATTATTCATAACCTCTTTAGTAATATTAATGCTATTGTGACACATTCTTAGAGCAAAACAAATGCCCCAATCAACAGTCTGGAATCAGAGTGGCCACTGCTTTTTCAGCAGGCCAGGGCAAATAATTATTCAACAGCCTCTTGTGCAGCCCTTCTATTACAATGCTTGTCTTATACTCTAACTTTTCATTCATCTGCTTTGGCCTGGGCTGTTTGGCATAGGATTAGGTTGCCTGTAGACACTGTTCCAGCATCTCCTTTCTTCACATTCACTCTCTCCCTGTGCCTCCCCATAAACTTTCACAAGACTGCACCCCATCAGATGGGCTCCATTTTTATTTGGGATTGACACATTTGAATATTGAACTTTGATCTGTTCCTGAGGGCAATTTTAACAGAGAAGCTATATTTTTCACTGTAAAATACTGAGGATTTCCTTGGCATTCTCTGTATTCCAGCCCTGCCCTTGGAGAGGGCCCTCACAGGCAAGCACATATTTGTTGAGGATCTGTGTGCCAATGTCCCGAAACTGGAGGCGATCTTCTTTGTGCTCCGTAGTGTCAGCGCTGCAGTCCTCGTACTTGACTGCCCAGAAACACATTTCGCCAATGTACATCATTGTCAACAGGTGTGTGTCTGAGAAAATGCCTGACCCAAAAGATAAACCGGTAGTTAGTAAGACCAGTTGGCGACAACAGAACAGATCGTTAAAAAATTTCTGTGTCAGTTTTCAGTCATCCAGGTCAATGTAGTATTAGAAGAAGAAGAAAAAAAGTGATGGATTTCTTTAACTCTGATGAAGACTTTTCACCTCTCATCCCAGAGGCTTCTTCAGTTTGGCTTCTGTATGTAGAGTCCCAGGTATTTAAACCCTAGTGGGGGTTGTCCCTTAGGAGGTGGTCGCTGACCACTATTAATCATATGAATCATCAAACAAGCCAAGGTGAGCCATATCCAGTTTTTGGGGCAAGTTTTTTCCGAAGTGTCACCTGAAACTTCTGGTGGTAATGATCCTCGCCTTTTTTCACATCTATAAACCTAATTCTGTACCTGTACCCATTATTAAGTATGGGACTCTCCACCTTTTGGTTTTAGAATTGAAAAGCCTCTGGGATGAGAGTAAAAGCAGCTTCAATGAAGGTCAGCTGCTTTTTTTTTTTTTTAAATCTCCTAAGATTTTCAAAGATGGGTCACAAATTAGAAGTAAAAAACTGCTTTACTAAGGAGTTCAGCCCCCAATCCGCATTTAATGATCCCTGCCAATGATTACTCTGGGATGTAATTCTCAGTAACCATATTTATTTGCAAAAACTCTCGTCTCCAAGGACAGAAGAGATTCCAGCGAAGCTGTCACGTTTCTCCCTACCACAATATAACTCAAACATCCGATCACATAACTGGGGACGTTGTGGGTTCAAGTGTATTCCTTCAGCTTATCACGTCTATAATAAATAACATATTTACCTTCAGATAAGATGTTTGCTGTAGCAGTGTCATGTAGCACCACACCATCATTGAGCTTCACAGAGTTTCTCACCTGCAGCATCCGCATCAAGTATCGCACACCTTCCTGAATACACTGGGTCAAAAATGTGTTTAACATTAAAAAAGAAACATAAAAAAGTGGAAAACTGTTGGTTTTAATCAAAGTAAAGTTGTACAGCTAACAATGAATGAAACTCCTTAGATCTCTGCATTGTTTGTTACCTTAAGGAATGTCTCCTTGTTTTTCTTGATCCACTGCTTTCGCTGATGAAGGGTATGACAGTACATATACAGCAGAGCTCCACGTCTCCAGTAGAGACATTCTAACAGCTCTAAACCCAACACAGACTGCACCTAACATAAACCAAAAGACACGAATATCAATATCAGACACTCCATGATGCCTCAACCATATTTATTTAAAGCACTTTAAAAGCATGTGTCCAAGTGTGAGTAGCGGAACCACAATTCAGAGGGAAAATTAAAGTTGACCTGACGTCCTACTAAAAGTAGGATAATTAACCAGACCAAGAAAGAAACACATGGACATAATCTTAATAGAAAAAAAAAATAATAATTTAAAAAAAAAAAAAAAAAAAAAAAAAGAGTGTCTGCTCCTCTTTTATACCCTTTGGGTTGTGGGATTGTGTCCCCATATAGTAACCTTTATAGTCTTATATTGTGATAACCAGACTACATGACAGTTTGTAATTTGATACAAAGTACACTATTCATTAAATGGAGTAGAAGACAACACCAAAATCGGTTTGAGACAAACACAAACCTCTTGTGCTGGTGCAAGCCGTGCGGCCAAAACTTCAGGTTCAGTCAGATCTTGAAGAAGCTGCTGAATTTTAAATGGTGAACAGTCCTCAGGGAACTCCTGGTCCACCAGTTTATTCTCTTCATAAAAAGTGATGTCTAGAATCACCTAAATGATGTAAAATAAAATAATTTTAAAAAAAAAGTAAAACTGAATGATATGTTAAAATTGTCTTAAACATTTTGCCTGCTCCATGTATAACTTTGCAAAATAGGATAAAGGCCTATAATAAACCTGCCAGCTGTTGCTCCTTCTTTAAACTAATTAAGAAAACTATTTAAGGGGGGAAAAAAACAACGGTTAGAGATATCGGTATCTAATCTGGAGCTGTAATACAACATAAGCACGCACAACATAAATGAAACTGAATTGAATTTAGATCACGTAAAGCAATTTCCAATAATGCAGTCACTCATTTTACTGTCCCATCAGATCAGCTGCCTACTCAAAAATATTTTTTCTGTCTTTCAAAAAGCTTTAGTATGAAACAACTATGGTTTTTGAACCTCCTCTGAGATACATTTAGGGGAAAATATAGGCTAAAGGCTGAAGGATAGAGTGATGAGAATGGCAGGAAGTACAGTACGCAGAATGGAAAGCACCCCAAGATCTTATTAATACAACTGGTGAACAAATGTAAAACGAAACCACCATCTTCAACATTCCTTCTTCCCTAACTGAACCATCTCTTGTGGGTTGGTATGGAGTTAGAGGTTTTGTTTTATAGTTTACGGCAAACATTTTACCCCTAAATTTTTTAAAGCAATAAGCTTCAGAATATCTTTAGTAAAGTAAATCTAGACCAGTTTGCATTAGACATTATTACAATGTCACACAGATTCTGTAAATCATTAAAGGAACAAAGTGAACAGAACTAAAACACTCATAATTAGAAGGTTTTCATTTCAGACAAAGTTTCCATGTTTTCCTGATATGAGCTCTGTAATTATGTCAAAATTTAGATAAGAGCTAAACAGAAGACAGCAGCAACTGCAAAGACGGCACTTTCAATGGACTCATTATAGAAGACACTATGTTAGCAACATTGGTTGCAACATTGGTTGCAACATTAGTTGCTAAATAACAATTATTTTGATAGCCGACTAATGTGCCTCATTTTTCTTTGATTAGTCGACAATTATTTCATTAACTGTTATCTACACTTCCTGTAGGCAAACCTCTTATTCTAGGCACCAGTAACTTACCTGCTCAAGTCTGCCCACCTGTGAATACCCTGTTGTCTTGTCCCACAGCAAATTAAAATAATGACCCAGGGAACATATGAATTTGAAAATAATCAAATGGTTCTTTTAACATTACTCAATAGAACAATCAGAATAAAAATGAAATAAATCAAAATGTTAGGTAATATAAATTAAATTGCTAGTAGCATTTAAACAAAGAAAAAAATGTGCAAGTAGGAAACTAAAAATAGTTTCTATCCATAAGTTCAAATAAAGCTTTGAGATCTTTGAGATGATGTTCCCAGCTGTTAATAACCATGCTGAAGATGTTCTCTTTCCTGACTTTAGCCATTTGACAGGTGCATGAGCCTCTTTATAGGACAAAGTCACCTGTATGCCTGTGCTTAACACTTAAGAAAATACAATTCTGCGTCAACAAATTTTTATAGTCGATGCCAATGATTATGGTGACGAATCGTTGCAGCCCTAAAATTCACAGGAAATTATTTTCAGAGAGTATAGAAAATTTCTTAGCGTTTAATACTGAATAGACGGAGCATTTTGTGATTATGTCTGTGACACAACATTTACGTTACACTACTTTACAAACTTAGCTACAATTCCTGACATGTAACTAGTCTTTGCCTGCTCTATGTTCACTTACTCAAGCCAGAGTGAATATACATGTGCAGACAGATTTACTTTTTTATATAAACTCCCTTATTGTACAACTGCATTTTGTAACTTGCTTCTAGCTATACATGACAATTTAGTCTGTTACACAGACACCAACAAATCTGGGTATTCAATCCCCTGGACATGTGTGTACAGTGCTAAACTTAAACAGTAAAAGTAAAGAGACTGGAATGTGTTCAGTTTTTACTTTGTAGAGATGATCGTTTTTTAGTGGCTGCATAGTGTAGTGGTTTATACATCCATACATCCATTTTGGGAGGAGACACAAATCCCCTTGGGGTTGCAAAAAAGTGTGGTGACCCCTTGTGAAAATGGGAACAACTGAAAGGATCTTTAAGATATGCAGGGTTTTTATTAAAATGTAGATACAACAGTAACCTACTGCAAACCTGTCACTTTCTGCTTCCACCTTCTAAAATGATTTCGACATTTTATATTTGCGTTTAAGACTGCTAAGCAGTGTAAGTAAGAAAAATTTCCTTGTGTTCAGAGCAACTTAGTTGGGTATTTTATCCTGTTTTCTGTGGTTTTGGGGACAAAAATCACTAGTAGTTTAAAAAAAATCCCTCATGTTACTGACTACTTAATAAAATAACTTACTGAAACGCAAGAGAGTAAATACAATTTGATGGAAGGAAGTACCTGTGTGTAATCCTGCAGCAGCTTGGATAGGTTGCTACTCTCTCCTCCTTGTCTGTAAAAGCTTTTCAACTTGTCTAGTATGGCAGATGCATTCTGTAAATAGTCATCATCTACGGAAGAACCATATGTTAACATATTACCCAAGTACAAATCAAACTCATGAAAAATCCCGAGTTATCGTGATTGTTGATCAGGACTTTATAATCATCCACAATTCGACTCACGACAGGAAAAAAAATATTTTAGCATAAAACATAAGCTGACTAGCCCATGCGAGCATTCACAGATAAACATAAGGCCAAAAATGCGCACTAACACGGTGGCGTTTGAGGTTCAGATACAAGTTAAAGTAAAAAAAGTTAACGACGCCATTTAACATTCAATAAGGACAACGTAGATGATTCGTTGCTTTATTGATGACAGCCGTTTAGCTAGCATTACCAGCCATCATGTGTCATACCTTCACATATGTCAACAATACTGCATTTTAGCTAACGTTAGCAGTTAACTCAAAAAACCCTAGTGAAATACAAACATAACTCCGCGAGTTATGTACATTGTCCTGCAACGTTGCTAACCACTAATTATAATTAACTAACTGCATATGCACTGATGTGTTCCGAAAGGTTGTTTTGTTTTGTTTTTTGACAAAATGCAATATTTCACCAGACAGCAGCTGTTGTCATGGTTGCAAGCTAACGTACGCTGGAAGTTAGCTTGATTGCTTGCTTGCTAGTCGATTCCTTAACCAAGACTGTTTGCCACGTACTAAATGAATTGCCGAAAGGCAAACAAATAAACAGTGTAATCGGTACCTTGCTTTTCAGCTCTGAGACTCGAACACTTGATGTCTAACTCAAATATTCTTCTCTCCAACTCAAAACCTTGTCGTCTGTAGTCGTCGGCCATGACTAAAAGTACCAGTCACGGGAGCAACGGATTTTACTCACGTGCTCAAAGAATTTTCAATTTCCGTTTCTGTGCATGCACGCGCACGGCCGTAGGATTATACCAGTAAGTCGTCCCTGCGTTTGCAAAAACGTTAACTTTAAACTGTAAACATACGTGTACTTTTAGATAGTGTGGTGGTGCTGACAGCTGAAGGGAGCGTGCGTACTTTAAAGTTAGACGTCTGCTGAGGCGACTTTGGAAAATAATAACTCAAACAGTAGGAAACAAACTGTTGGTTTAGGGGTTAGTCAGTTTTTAGTTATTTAGTCCTGTGAAATGAGTCCTATGCCAGAAACCGTTTCTACACAAAGTGGAAAGATAAATTTCAAAGGAGGGATGAAAAAAATGATCTGTGGGTTTTGCTTGAAATGTCAGGGGTGCATGCAGAGGAAAGATATGAGAAATGTAGGGATGAGCTACAGATTTCTGTTTGTTGGAGGGGGCATATTGCTGGAACCTGTGGATACAAATTAAATGAGGAAAATAGAAGGGGAAATTCTGTGCAACATGAGGCAGACTGGGAAACAATTCAGGTATTGCAAGAAGTGTGTTGCAAACTGCTGAGACAGACTCTACGGTGTAGGACATCTGCCTTGTGCCTGCTCAACATTGTGTTTTCATGGGGCAGAAGGGGAAATAACTAATAACTAAATTCTTTTTGAGCTGGGTCACCACCGTGGATCTTCATCATCCATTTCAATCCATCTCTTCCATTCTCTGCTGTCACACCAACCCACTGCATGTCCTCTTTCACTACATCTATAAACCTTGTCTGTGGTCTTTCTCTTTTCTTCCTGTTTGACAGCTCCATAGTCAGAATCCTTTAGCCAGTATATCCACTATCCCTCCGCATGTGTCCAGACCATCTCATCTCACCTTTCCTCTCTAACTTTGTCTCCAAATGGCTCCATCTCTTGTATATGCTTTTCTCTCATTCACACACGTATTCTGTCTTGCATCTACTGACTTTCATAACTCTTTCCTCTAGCACGCACCTCCACCTCTCCAGACTCTACCCGATCATACAGATTCGATATTGATATTTGGTAGCAAATGATCAATGGGGTTGTTGAAAGCTTCAGAAAAAAAATTCTTCTGGTGGAAATGTAGGTAGCTGCAATTAGGTTGCTTTGTGCAAATTAAACACTAAAGTTTTATCAAATTAAAAGGGCTAGCCTTTTTGGCAGTTGAGTTCTGGAAGTTTCTAAAGAGTCAATATAGGCTTTCCAAATTCAGAAGAATTGGGTTTTAATGCATCATGATTTTTTTTCTATGTCAAAATTCTAATGAAAAAAAAGAAAAAGAGAATGCCTTCTCAACACCACTGTGCATTTAATTATGAGCTATTGTTAATCTCCGTCTCTCTTCCACAGCATGTCTTTTGTCTTGTCTCCTTCCCCTCACCCCCAACCCTGATGGCTGCCCCTCCCTGAGCCTGGTTCTGCTGGAGGTTTCTTCCTGTTAAAAGGGAGTTTTTCCTTCCCAATGTCGCCAAAGTGCTTGCTCATAGCACGTCGTCTTTTGTGAGTTGTTGGGGTTGTTCTGCATTATTGTAGGGTTTTTACCTTTCAATATTAAACACCAGGAGGCAATTCCTGTTTTGAAATATGGTTTTGATATAAATAAAATGAATTTAATCAAATGTGAAACTGTCTTTGTGTGCCAGCAGATGTTGGGATTGAAAGCATTGATGGCGTGGATAAGATTAGGTAGAAAATGTAGATTTGCATGTGCCATTTGGCAGGATGCTGTGCCACTGCATCCTTAGTGAGAGGCTGAATCATCAATGGTGAGAATGGGATGCAGTGGGGAAACAGAGATTGGAAATTGCTCTCATGCATTGCAAGCTGTGTCAGGAAATTAATGTTTTCTTCGTGGACCTTTGAATACAGTATAGCCCTACTAAAAAAGAACAAGAGAACAAGGGTAGTATTGGGCTTTCTCAAACGGCAATGACGCTACAGCACCAACAGTAGGCGGCAATGCACTAAATCATGCCTAGCTTACCAGAGGGGGGGAAGATAACGAAGAAGAGCTTCTCCTTTCATCCTGTTTGAAAACAGCCAATAGCGTCGTGTCGCCGAGCTGGGCTTGCATGTAGCCACATTTTGTGACCCTAGCTAGTTCGGATAAAGGTCCAGTCAGCACTCACCCTGCATCTCCGCCCACCCCAAGTTTGTAGCTCCAAATCATGGCGGCCCTCAAAGCTTTGTGCAGAGCGGAAAATATACTCTTGAAAACCCACCACAGAACCAAAATAAACTTCGCCATCCACCAATTGAGCAAGGTCAGTATAACAATAGCGACGTTACACCTGTTGTAGGAGTGTTGAGATGATGTTGCTGCAAAAAAGAGACGACAGTAGTAAAATATAATAATTGAACTGTCATTAAAGTATTGGTTACATTTGGAATGAAACAAGCTTCGCGTCGTATATACTGTTTCAGTTTGCGTTTATGTGTTATTGTGGGCTGACCTCAGCCTGCAGGGCGCACAACCTTGCGGATACGCGCAATACAACATATTTGCCATTCCTTTCAAAAACTGCTGCTAAGATCTAGAAATGCATGAATAAAGTGAATCAGGTTATTTGATCTGACTAAGGTATGTGTAGTTGGATGATCACAAGTGCGCGTAACTCAACACCAAGTAATCTTAGATTTAGGTCTAAACACCTGCCACACGTTTTATTCAGTGCGGAAAACTTTCAAAAACATGTTCCAATTTTATAGAGTCGTTAAATGTGAAGCTCGTTTTGTTAACTATAAAAAAGGTAATTTGTAACAATGTGTAATGACAAGAACATTGTGAACTTGAGCTTAAGCTTTCTCTTGAATGCTAGTTAATTATCACCCACACAGTAAGCACCGTGTGATTGCAGCAATCTGCGTGATAACAGCCCTTCATGGTTGAACTTGCGTTTAACTACTGTCTGAGATATGAGAATTTACAAAAGACAGCAGCTCGCATTGGTCTGACACAGGGTTTTAAACACATGATTTTAAACCTGAATCCTCTGCTGACTGTTGGTTTTTGGCTCTTGGCTGTGTGCTATCATAATCTCTGCTTTTGTTGCAGGATTTGTTCAGCAGTTAGGTTTACTTTTCCTTTCTTCTACAGAATAAATTGGATTTGAACTGTGCAAGCAGGTCATTAGGTTTTAAGCCTTTATTTTTTTGTGCTTCTATTTAGAATTTACATGTTTGGGTTTTTTGGTGTTGCGGAAACAGCATTTTTTTATGAATGCATATTTGCTGTATTTCATGCTCTTGTGCTTTCTACAGACCTGTGGCTCTTACTTTTCCACATCAAGTCAGAAAAATTCAAAGTTCTACTCAGATCCTGTAGAAGCAGTTAAAGATATCCATAATGGAGCTACCATTCTTGTGGGAGGTAATGTATAGTACTTTCACAAACATATTGTAACAATGTCCGATAGGACTGCTTGGTTTATGATGATTTTGTTCACCTAACAGTATGTTATGCTTTATATTTACATACACTCACTGGATGCTATGAGGTACACCTTGGTATTACTGTCTCTTATAGATTCATATTTCTTCATGGCATAAACTCATCAAGGTGCTGGAAACAAAAACACGCTTCACATCCATGATGCAAATCTCTCATTCCATCACATCCCAAAAGTGCTCTACTAACTGTGGAGGCCATTTGGTTACAGTGATAAGTACTCATGGTCATGTTCAAGAACGCAGTTATAGGTCATTTGAACTTTGTGACATTGTTTGTTCTCATGCTGGAAGCAGCTATCAGAAGACCTGTGGTCGTAAAGGGGTGGACACAGTCAACAACCATAATATTCCTGTATCTTGTGGCATTTAAATGGTGCACTGTTGGTATACCAAGGGCCCTAAAATGTGACAAGATAATATTTCCCACAATATTATACCACCACCAGCCTGAGCTGTTAATACACAGGATAGATCCATGGTTATCTTTTTTCTGACTCTACCATCCAATCGTTAGGAGACTCATCAGACTAGATAATGTTTTTTCAGTCTTCTGTTATCCAGTTTTTGTTGAACCACTGGGCAACCAATGGATATTTTCTTTAAACCCTAGAGATGGTTGTGTGGAACAATACTGGTAGATGGTAGATCAGCCGTTTCTAAATTACTCAGATCAACCTGTCTGGCACCAACAACCATGCGTTCAAAATCACTTAAATCACTGTTCTTACCCAGGCTGATTCTTGGTTTGAACTTCAGTGTGTCATCTTCCCCATGTCTACTTGCCTAAACGCACTTAGCAGCTGACATTTGATTGGCTGATTAGATATTTGGGTTAATGAGCGGTTGAACACATGCACGTAAGAAAGTGGCAGGTGAATTCATTAGAATAAATTTAATGTCTAATTTGCAATGAAGTGATTCCAAACTGTCTGTAGAATGCTGGTTGAGTATCATCCACACACTGAGTGCACACGCAATCCACTGATCTTATTTATAGTCCTGTTCACAGTGACATTGTTAAATGTTTTCCATTGTGACGCACTTCTGTCTAAGAGAAAAGCAGGTGAACCTTCACTCAGTGCAATATATGTATGTGTATTTCTAAACAAGTCTAGAAATACCTGGACTTTGCTCATTGCACTTTGGTTTTTCTGTGTGGTTTGACATAGTTAACAAGATCATTGTTTTTGTATTAGTTTACTGTCCAAATCTGGCATATCCCTAATCCTTAGATGTAAATGTGTATTTAAGACATTTTAAGGTCCTTATATGATCTTAAAATGTCTTAAATATATGTTTGCGAATAAAATTCCTTCACACTATGTAGCTCAACTGCGTCATCACAGACCGGGCTATCTTTGGACTTTGATCCAAAGTCCATGAGGAGAGGACTGAATCAAAGTTCAAATCACAACCTAATTCTCACATTGCTATGAACGAATTGGCCTAAAATATCTGGTTAACATACAGCACTTAATTGTAATTTTGTAACTGGTCTTAATCATTTGTTCTCCAGGCTTTCTGAAGGTCTTTTAAAGTTTTCTTTGGACATCGGCTGCTTTTTCATTCGTTTTCATTTCTCTGAGCATTTTCAGAGAAATGTTTTTTATGCTTTAAGCCAATTAACTGGATTAAACATTTCTTATTTTTTCCTAGCAAAATATAAGGAAATTAGCGATGGCAGTAAATGCACAGGCATCAGCTGAACAAGTGAAGATAAAACACAAAGTCATAACATTTACTTACAACGTAAATACACTGATACAAACTTTTGACAATTTTATTTAAAGTCGTGTTTAAATGTGTTTCGTTTTTCTTTTCTCACAGTGATTCCTTGTTTGCAACGCTTACTTTTTTGTATTCCACCTCAGGCTTTGGATTATGCGGAATTCCGGAGAATCTCATCAACAGTTTACTGAAGACTGGCGTTAAGGGCATCACTGCAGTCAGTAACAATGCAGGGTATGTGTGAAAGTGTACATGATTTGTACATGCTGTTTTAGAATAGTACCATTCATTGTTGTTGGGTTCTTTTGGTAGAATTAAATAAAAACAAAAACATTAGAATTATTACTTTGGTTTAAACCTTTTAACCAAACCACATCCTTGCATATGAACTTGAAAGTTTTGCTTATTGTCTTGAATAGTAGTGTTTCTTTGTCTTGATTTGAGCCTGTGATGGTGTCTAATTGCAGCATTGGCAACCTTATGACTGTAACGCCAGACAAGCAGTGTTGTGCTAGCGAGATCCCCAGAGGCTATTAGATAAGTCATTGGATGAGATACAAGGAAGAGGTGTGTGTGGTCAGGTGATCTTGTGTGTGATGTTTGTATTTGGTCTCAGTGCAGATTCAGTGTACACATAACAGTCAGCTGGTGACCTTAATTCCCTTTATTATATGTTTTGTCCTTTTTTACATTTTGTACAGTAGCAAGAACTAACTGAAGGTTGCATTCAGTCTTTTAACTCAAATAAAATTCTAATACTGTTGAAAGAAAAAAGGAAAAAGAAAATTGCAGCTTTCTTTTGTAATCAAAACCTGGCGTGTCACAATCCAGTAAACATTTAATTGTAGTGCTTATGCAGAAACAGTGAAACTTGAGTAATTCTTACCCTTTTACGTCTTTGTATTTATGTCACATACAAAACTATTAAAGGGTAAGAATTAAATGTGTATGTTTTCGTATGATAATTTTATAATAAAGCCTTCTTGGTGATCATATATCCCAGTCATGGGTCAGGGGCCACATGAGAAACTGGATCTGGGCTGCACCAGGAATCATATCAAGAGATAAAGTTAATATTGAGCAGAATTGAGTTCAGCTTTTATGGTTCGGCCCTGCACAACAGTCCCAGTTTCTCATATTACCCCTTGGGAAAATTAATTATATCAGTGGCAGGCAATCAAATACTGTAATAAAGACTCCTTTTTTAAAATGACAGTACTGCATAAGTGTGTTTGCTTGTAAAGCAGTGTGAACAAACTATTTTTTGAATGAAAACTATATTTACTATTTGACAACTAGGCATTGCTAACCTTATTTTGGCAGCAGTGGAAGGAAAGTGTAATTCTAACTTGGGAAATGCTGCCTCATGCTGTTGCCAGGTACGCAGATCTTATCTGAGAGGATAATAGAGAAGTTAACATGCAGAAATATTGGTTGTGTTGTGTCACTTTATTCTTTAAAAGGATCCTTAATCAAGGATAAATCTTTAATCTTTTGACTTTTGTAGCAATATAGAACACATGAGTGTTTTGTCTCACTGCTGTTGGGTGAGAGGAACGAGACCCTCATATTTCATTTCTCATGAAACTGACACAGCTGGCCCTTTATGCCCTCGATGAGTTGAGAAGGATTCAGCTGTACAAAAGGAGATTATTGGGCTGTTACAGAACCGCCTTCCCTTGCAGCTTTATACGTACTGTGTAATCAGCTGCTCCAGAATTTGATACAAACCAAATAGATTCTGTATAAAAGGCAGTGACACTTGTGCTCAAGATCACTGCTGGAATCTGCTCTCATGAATGAGCACCGAGTATTTGCCTGAAGAGCTTATAGTCCTCAAACATCATTCCATACACACCAGCTTCACACACAAGATTACAAAACATTAACACGAGTTAATAGTGCCAAAACCTTTCTTTAGTGTTTCCATTGTGTGTTGCATCACCAGTGGTTTGTGTGCATGTGACAGTGCACTTTGCAGTTATCTGTTTTTGCATTCTGATAACCCATGGCCTGGATATAATTTAAGATAACCTGAGATTAGAGTTACAATTAGAGTACAAAGCAGTGGTAGTTGGAGATTAGTTAGAGCAGTGTAAGAGAGAGTGAGTTTTTAGTTGCCTGTGCATTAACATAAAGCACCTGTTTAAAGTATTTTGTGTTGCAGAAATACAGCTTGGACAGATTGAAACTAACTTGATTTGATTGCCATCTGTTTTTCTTGTTTGGTATGAAAGAGCTTTAAAGCCACAAAAAGCCAGTCCTCTCATAGCTGATCAAACAGTTGCTTGAGGGACTCGGCAATTTATATTTGTCAAAGAAGGCTAGAAAAATGTATTCACATCTGTTGAGTCATGATGATTTGTCCAGGTATGGTGGTCTAAATACGTGACACCCTATGTGCAGCAGGTGTAAGACACACTTGAGACCAGTGTGAGCTTCACAGCTTCTTTCAAGCACAATTATTCCGTGTTGTTTTGACAGACAATAAACAAAGACATGCTCAGAAAAATCTGACTCAGTGGCAACCCCAGGCTCAGCAGCCGTGTTTGATCAAATGTACTGTGATTATGGCTGTGAATAGGCCACAGCTGGACTGTGACTGTCTTTGCTTTGTCTTAAGATCAGAAAAGGGAGCCATATGAGTTCCAGCTTGACTGAGTTACAACCTTGAATAACCTCTCTAAGCGTTTACGTTAACAATAAGAAATGCTGGAAATTGCAGGAAGATAGGACATTGAAAGTTTCTTATGAGGAAAAAGAAGCATAGTTGGTAGAAATAAATGAGTATTGACAGAAAAGTGCTTTAATGTCAAATAAAAAATGAAAATGTATTCATTTGAAATGTAATAACATGAAATGTAAAATAAAACACAACAAGACACTTGTGTGTACCCTTTAGATCAGCTTATATTTATAAAAAACTGCTTAAGTTAATTTAATAAACAAAACAAAGCTTAGTAAGTTAGTGCTGTGTGTGTGTGTTTTCCTTAGAGTGGATAACTTTGGCCTGGGCCTGCTGCTCCAGACTAAGCAGATCAAGAGGATGATCTCCTCATATGTTGGA